CACTGCAGGACGCTTGCCCAACTTGGATGCAGACATAGAGGAGCGGTGCGTTGTTGTCATCGTACCGCTGCTTGGGAAACTCGCGGACCCCCTTGGTAACATACAAAAGGATGTCCCCCACCGCAACTTCATCATCCGTCGACAAAGCTGGTGGTGCATAGAAGGATGATACGTGTGAAGATGAGCGCATAATGCTGCACATTGCGGTCCCGACAAACGGCCCGTGGTCGGGAGAGGAAGCCATGCAAAATCCTCTGACGTGAGCGGGTCCAAGACCTCTATGTTGAACTCGCGCGCCGAATCCCATGGAGAACCACTTGAAGATGACAAGTCGCCGCAGCCGGACGAAGAAGATGCCACACGCACGTCTTGTCCTTGAGCATGAGTACCCAGCGTAGGAACGAGCCAAACAACATAGTCCTCATAAGAATATAGAAGAGGACTGTCGACTTTCGCATGGGCCTCGGAACGAAGGACGGTCACCGGCGAAGCGATAGGTTCCGAAGACGTCGAGAGTATCGTCGATTCACTCCCGACGGTGCTCAATTTCCCGACTTGCCCTTGCCTTTCTACGGGCAGCCCAGTGTGTCGTGGAGATCACTGTCACACCACAAACAATAGCGGAATCTCATGCGTAGCTTGTACGCACTTTCGGAGAGACCGTAGTGGGACCATGGGGCTGGAGCTGCTGCGCCAGGCTCGGGAATAGATGATGTGTTTGTCTTCGTCTTGCCGCGTCCTCGGCCTTTGCCGGGGCAGCACCATCCCGGGCGGCTGCGAGTCTGTCCCCTTCATTGGTAGACACGGCCTCGCTAGAAGGGTCGGTTGGCATTGCCGCCGCGACCACGGCCACTTTCGGTCGATGCTGATCTCTGCTCGGGCTTGCCGCACACGAACGGTTGAGGTTCTCAGCCTCCTTGTTCGTGAAAATGATCTGCGCGACCTTGTCGAACAGCTCCGCCGTTGTCGTAAGGGTGTCCTTGACGTGAGTCAAGGCGTTGCCCAACGGCGGACACAACCTCGAGATGAAGTAGTGTTTGACAGCCTTGAAGCCCATCTGAATGTCTGGGGCGGATGTCAAGCGTTGGTACTCAGCAATCCAGTCAACACTCGGCAGCATGCCTTGTTCGAAGATCATCAATTTGTCCATTGCTTTGATCCGGCGGCTCTACTTGGAACCGCTTATGCCGCGCCGCCTTTAGATCATCCCAACTGATCTTGGTGTATAAGTCGGCAGCTACCACCCCGTACTTGGACAAGAGATTGTCCAACCATGCTTGGCACGTGCCCCCCGACCGGGATTATTAGTACGCGTGATGCTCGTCCTCGCTGACGTGGTGTAGTTGCAACCTGAGTTCGAACTTACGGAACCACGGAATCAAGTCTGTCTTCGTCGAATTGTAGAAGATCTCCTGACCATCGAACTTTGGGGTTGTCTCGCGCGGTGCCGAACTCGGTGTGGCGGCGGCAGCACAGATCCGCTGCTCCAGTTGTTGCGTGGCGGTTTGCTCTAGTTGCGCGTCGTCATTGAGGGTTCCGACGTCGAACTCCAATGCATTGAGGCGATCGGAGGTGTTGGAGGAGCTGGCATCGGGGGTGGCGATGGATCGTTGCTCCAGCTGTTGGAGGCGGCTGTTGACTTGATCAAACGGCGTGGTTGTGCGTCTGAACCGCGTCGTCGAGGCTGTGGATGTCCTCCTGCTGTGCAATGCACGTTGCCAGGAGATCTGTGAAACGGGAGAGGAGTAGAGCGATCTTGCTTTCACTCTCTTCCATCTTACCATTCTCGGCCTCGGCCGGCCAGTCCGCTGCCATTGTGAGCAAGTCTCGCTCTCTGTTGAATATCTTCTCGCGTCGTTGATTTCGTTCCTCATCGGCAGTTCGTGCTGCTGCCTCATCTTGCTGGCGCTGCTGTTCGATTGCCAACAGACGTGCCTTCTCGGTGTCTTCTGCCTTCTTTTTCTCTATGGCTGCTACCTCATCCGCCCGTTTCTTGCCTTCGGTAATCGAAGCCAGCACCCGGGGCGGGTAGGCCTCGGTCGTTTCCCTGGATTTCTGATCCATGCCGGTTGTTATTAAGCGCGTGAGCATCGACCAAGCCGGAGGACTGGTGAGGTGGCACTGCTCGGCTGCTGACGTGGCTCGACTGTCGGCTGACGTGTCCTGCTGAGGTGGCCTGCCGACGTGGTCTGCTGACGTGGCAACTCACCAATGCTGCTGCAGGGTCGGAGATAGAGAAGATCAGAGGGGGCAACAACATAGGTAGGGAGGGGTGGGTGGGATAAATCGCCCAGATAAGGAGCGACTAATCAAAAAGAAAAGTTTGAACTTTGCAAAAAATTCGAGAGAGAAAAGAAATACTGGTTTGCAAGTTCAGTAGGCCTCCCATTTCCCCTTGAAGTGCGAAATTACTAATGAGGAAAAAAATTCAAACTTTCAGCTTGCAAATGATTATCCGATAAAAGAATTCCAAAAATAAAATACAAAAATATTCGGAATTATTCAGATGAGAGTATGCATAGTTTGGAAAATGGTAGCTGCAAGAGGGATTTTGCGTACCGTTTTGAAATCTTGAAAAAAGAATTTTGGAAAAATATTCCGGATTTCCAAGTAACGGGAAATTGCAAAAGGAAATTGAAATTTTTGAAAAAATATATTTCGGATTCCAAACAACGAAATTTTGCACTTTCAAAAAAACGAAAATGGAAATTTCAGGTGTTGCGCTATTGTTGAAACGGTTTTCACCTTTTAGCAGTAGCGGATGCAATACCCAGGTTTCGATCCCTAGACCTCACCCTACCCATGTACAGTATCTGTGTAGACCCCGAGAGTTGAACCTGTGACCTGCGTATTCGTAGACAGTTGGTAGGTCTGTCGTAGGTCCATAGGCAGCAGGGGTTCGATCTGTAGGTCTATAGCGTAGAAGTCTTAGTGAGTTCCGGAAGCTTAGCTGTAGACCTTCTAGAAGGTAGGCAAGTGGTCAAGTGGCGAGGCAAGTGGTGGACTAAACTGCAGTGCAACAGCAGTACGAGGTCGGTAGGATAGCAGTAAGTCCACAGTCAGTCAGCGGGAGGTCCAGTCAGTCCCAGTTCGGTCCAACAAGTACCACGGGGGGACTGTGAGCACCATGGGCCGATGGCAAAGGGCCGATGGCAAAGGGCAGACCAACGAGTTTCTGAAGTATAAATCAAGAGGCAGCGCCCAGCCTTTCATTCATTCCTGCGTGAGCCATCCGGAAGCGCTGCCATAGCGACTTGGGCAAGGAGGTCTGCAGATGAGCCCGGAGGTCGCAGTGGGCGAGAGAGGATGAGTTAGTTTAGCAATAGGTTAGAGGCAGCTAAAGCTGCCATAGCTGTAGTTAGTAGAGAGTGTGTGTGTGTGTCGAGTGTTCAGAGTGATGTGTGTGGGATATCCAGGGTTTGTTGAGCATTGAAGTCGCCATAGCCAATGGAGAGTGAACTCGTATCTGAAAGCCATATCTCGGAGTTTTGAGTGAGCGCATGTCGCCAGTTTGATGTGCTGTTGTTTACATGCATGAAAAGTGCGTTTGAGAACGAGTCTGATTGCATTGGTATCGGAGCTGGTACCCGCTATTCCATGCGCGCCGTCGTATGCAGGGCCTGATGCGCCATAGCCGAGGTGGCCGCCGAAGGTGACAGTCCGCCATAGCGGACATGAGGTGGAAGAAACCGCCGCGCACCTGCAAGAAGACAACGACAAAGAAGAAGAGAGAGAGAGAGAGAGAGAGAGAGAGAGAGAGAGAGAGAGAGAGAGAAGAGAGAGAGAGAGAGAGAGAGTAAGGTTGAGCGATCCAAGATGGGGTTAGTACGTACCTGCTGCGCTGAAGATACCGCCACGGCGAGGAGAGAGAGAGAGAGAGAGATGAGCAATACAAATTTGGTTGTCACTTACCTATGAAGTTGCTGCACAGTCCACGAAGGAGAAAGACAGCGGCCATAGCCGCGGAGCCTGTGCCACGGAGTGACGAAGTAGGAGGGAGAAGGACAGAGGAGGAGAGACCGAGAAGGGAGAGGAAGCGGCCATAGCCAAGAGGCGTTCAAAAAAAAAAAAAAAAAAAAGAGAAAGAAGGGGAGAGCGGGGGAAAGGAGGCGAGGGAGGTATGGAAGAAGAAGGGGAATTGGCGAGGAAGAAGGGCCGGCAGCCATAGCTGACCGGGGAGTTGACCGAGAGGGTTGATCGGAAGTGTTGACCAGCGTTACCAGAGTTGATCGGGGGTTGATCGAGGGTTGACTGTAGAGTTGACCAGCATTGACCAAGACCGTTGACCAAGACTTTGACCATGCTGGAGTTGGTAACATCTCGCCAAGCCCTTAGCCTACCCCTTGCCCTATGGATGTGCACATACCCCTTGGTACTTGCTGAGTACTTTCTACATTGAGTCTCTTCTGTCCTAGGTCATAGTACACTGTGGATGAAGGATAGGGCTTGGATGACGAAACCCTAGTCTGACCTTGTAGGGCTAAGACTGTGGCTGATCCAACTTTCCAGGGGGGCATAACCCTCCCAAGGACCGGTGCTGACCGACTGGAAACGGTTGGTAGGACTCAGTGGGCCTGAACGACAGTCAGGGCTGACACACCAAGCAGTCTTCAAGTGTTGAGGGCCTGTTTGAACCACTCCCCTACCGGACCAAGTAAGGCTGAGGATGTGTGTCTGACGACTCGACTGTCCTGGAGGTCAAACCCTCCCGAGGACCGGTACCGACCGACGGGCTGCTCGGTGTGGCACAGTAGGCCGGAATGGCTGAGTTGTGGGCTGAAAGCATAGGCAAAACCAAGCTGATCACATCGTCCTGTTTGTGACGTCAAAGAATTCTTGCGGAGTTTGGGGGATCTCCTTAAAAGACTACATGATCAGCCACTGGTTCAGTAGTGACAGCCATAGCGTAGGTTTAGGCTAGAGACCATAGTTGACAGGATCCCTGTCAGGATTCTGTAAGTCTTAGATTGAGTCAGTAGGTCAGTTAGTCAGGGGTTGGCGTCTACGTGGTGAGGTTTGGAACCTCTAACCTGGTTGTACACCTATCACCATGGTTGGGACCCGCATTGGGAAGGAGACTAATTTCTACACCCCTGAGCAGCAAGCGAAGATGGCCGCCATAGTGAAAGAGAATAGGGAGAGGAAAGAGCGTGAGAAGCAGGCGAAGCTAAAGGCTATCGCAGACGAGCGGGCGACGAAAATGAAGGAAGTGGAGGAGGAGATGAAGAAGAACGAGAAGGCTGCTGAAGAAGAAGCGGCAGCAGAAGAACAAAAGGAGAGAATGGGGATTGAGAGTGGAGAAGGGAGTAGTGGTGGCACGATGACAAGGGAAACAGATACAGGGCTAGAGAAGAAGATCAGCGAGTGGGTTGCTAATTTATGGTTGGGTGAAGAGGAAGAGGCGGAGTCCTACGCGACTGAGGATGAGAGGGCTGCGCTAGCCAGTGAGCTCGCAACAATGACAGATCCTATGGAAAGGCGAGAAAGGGAGGAGCAGAAATTGGCATGGAAGTTGAGGAAGAAGCGAGAGAAGAAAAGGAGGAGAGAGGAAGTGAGTAGAATGGCTGCAGAGGTGGCGAAGGTGCAAGCATGTAGGCAAGAGATGATGGCCCAGCCGACTGATAAGGCCAAGTGGGACAAAGTACTGGGGTACCTGGAAGTGTTGAGCAAGGCCTGGATTGAAGAGCGCCAGGCTAGCTGGAGTCAAGATGTAGCCTTGAGTGCCATGCGGTTAGGGTTTAGAGACTATGCGCGCGAGATCGTCATCCACATTGGGGGCGAAGTCAAGCAATTGAGAGAGAATGTAGGGAAGTTTTGTGAGGGCGCCATTCAGGGTGCCAAAGCTGTAGCCGCTATAGAGGGAGAGGCCAGGCCCCGTAAGGACTCTGTGAAACTTGAGTTCCGAGATGCCTACGGGGGAAAGAAGGAAGAAAATTTTGACAACTGGGAAGCCAGTGTCAATAGTTATATTTACCTGCAACATATCCTAATAGAGGAAAAAGTCCTCGTGGCCTTCTAGGCCCTCAAAGATGACGCGGCTAGTTTCGCCAGGTCTCTTGCGCGTACAGCCGGTTGTGAAAACAACCTGGTTGCATATTCCAAAGTCACCCCTCTTTCCCAATTCCTCAAGCTCCTCAAGGAGCGGTTCGCTGACCCAACGCGAGGCATGAGAGCCTCTGATAAGCTGCAAATGATCCACTCACGGCAGTGAAGGAGTGCCAGGGCACTCAAGGGTACCATGGACGACTTAGTAGCCGTCCCGGACCATGGGGTCACTGAACCCCAGCTGGTCCAGTTTTATCGTGCCATTCCAGAGGCCCTACGCGGGCATTTCTTTGACAAATCTCAGCAGGCCGACATCACTGGCATAAGGACATGAAGAAGGGGAAGAAGGGGAAGAAGTGGAAGGATCGTACCATCTCGGGCCAAGTCGAGGCCAAGGATCACTTGATCCAAACATTAGAGGAGGTGGTACCGAAGAGGTCCCATTTGATCAGATTGAGTGGGGCCTAGGGGAGGAGTACAGTAGTGTAGGGCAGGGGAGGTCTTATGCTGCTGTCGCGGCCGGAGGGAGGCCGCAAGGTAGAGGAGGAGGCCAGGGCCAAAGGGGCCAGGCCATGGGAGGCCGARGACCGGGCGCACAGGGGGTTGGCGGACAGGGAAACCGCCAAGTGGGAGGTAGGGGTCAAGGTCCCTCGTTAAATCGCCAGGGTAATCGGTCCCCACAACGAGGAGGTGGAAGAGCACCTCAAGGAGGATGGCACCTAGGCTTGGACCTGCGATTATGGCAGGAACGCGTGAACATGGGTCAGTGCGTATTCTGTGGTGACCCGGCGCACGTAATTAAATTTTGTCCAAAGTATAGACAGMCCCGTTGGGCTGCTCAGCAGTCAAAAGGCAGCCGCCAGTAGGGGTCGCAACTGCCCCTACTTCCCGGCCATGTGGAGAAGTGAGCGCGCGCGAACAGGACACTCCCAACCCACATGAGCCTATGGTAGAGGTTGCAGGCCCGTGCCCAGATAGCTGTCCAGAGACTGCTTGTGTTAGCGTCTCTTTAGGCACGTCCCTCACAGGTGTGGCGGAAGAGCTAAAGGAGAGGATGCCAGCCTGGGCCAAAATGAAAGGGAGAGTAAGGGATAACTGATTTTGGTAGATGTAGAGGTGTTTAGAAGTAGAGTAGGGGCCCTTATAGACTCGGGGGCTACCCGTAGTTACATTAGCCGTAGGGCGCTGAAGAAGCTGAGGCTACTCTCTGTCTCGGTGCTCCCGCATTTGCGCGTTTCGTGAGAAAGGAGCAGTTAGAGGAACAGGTCTTCGTAGTGTATGTTAGACCTGTCACTGAGGGCCAAGAAAAGGATAGTTCCATAGATCCAAAAATTGCCAAGCTGCTGGAAGAGTTTAAAGATTTGACTGAGTCGCCGACAGGAGTAGTGCCACGACCCATCCAACATAGGATAGAGATAGAGCCTGGCAGTAGAACTCCTAAGGGTGCAGTCTACCGGATGTCCCCTAGAGAGTTAGAGGACCTTCGCAAGCAGTTAGACGAACTCCTTGAGAAGGGTTGGATCAGACCCAGTTCATCTCCTTTTGGAGCACCAGTTTTATTTGTCCCCAAGAAGGAAGGAGAGCTTCGTATGTGTATAGACTATAGGGGTCTGAATGCGATCACAGTGAAGAATGCTGAGCCGCTGCCCAGGGTTGACGATATTTTAGATCGGGTGCAAGGTTGTAAGTATTTCTCTAAGATAGACTTAAAGTCCGGATACCATCAGATAGAAGTCCATCCTGATGATCAGTACAAGATGGCATTCCGGACTAGATATGGGCATTATGAGTTTATAGTGATTCCCTTTGGACTAACCAACGCGCCAGCTACTTTTCAGCGTTGTATGAATGACCTGTTTAGACCGTGGTTAGATAAATTTGTAGTAGTTTACTTAGATGATATCCTAGTTTTTAGCAAGACCCTCCAGGAGCACCAGGGTCATTTGAGGCAGGTCTTGGAGAAGCTTAGAGAGGCTAACTTCAAGATCAACGCGAAGAAGTGCGAGTGGGCCAAGACGCAAGTCTTGTACTTGGGCCGCGTGTTGGACGGAGATGGCATTAAGCCAGAGGACAGCAAGATCGCGGCGATTAGAGACTGGCCGACACCCCGCACATTAACAGAGTTGCGGTCGTTCCTAGGCTTAGCTAACTACTATAGGAAGTTCGTGAGGAACTTCTCCACTATCGCCGCCCCCTTGCGCAGATTGCTAAAGAAAGAGGCAATCTGGCAATGGGATAAATATTGTACGTCTGCGCTCAAGAAGTTAAAGCGCGCGTTAATAGAATATCCTGGCCTCAAAGTAGCAGATCCGTCCTTGCCATTTGTCGTTACCACGGACGCAAGTCAGTATGGGATAGGCGCCGTGTTATAGCAAGACGACGACAATGGTTATAGGCCCGTAGAGTTCATGTCAGCGAGGATGCCGTGTGAGAAGGTTGCTACCTCCACGTACGAGAGAGAACTCTACGCTCTCAGGTAGGCTTTAGACCATTGGAAGCACTATCTGCTTGGGAGGCACTTCAAAGTGTATTCTGACCACGAGACACTTCGTTGGTTGAAGACCCAGGCCAAGATGACACCTAAGTTGACCAGGTGGGCCGCAGAGATAGACCAATTCGACTTTGAGCTCAAGCCAGTGAAGGGCAAGTACAATGTAGTGGCGGATGCTCTAAGTAGGAGATGAAACTACTTTGGAGCCATAGTACATTATCTGGATATAGGGAGAGACCTGCAGGAGAAAGTGAAACAAGCGTATGTGCAGGACCCTATCTATAGCGACCTCCTAAAGAGTTAGAGAGGCCCCAGAGACCGAACCAGATTACCGCACTGCAGACGGGTTGCTGTTTGAGAAGACTAATGTGTTTGACCGCCTGTGCGTTCCCAACAGCGAAGAGATCCCTAATCTGATCCTAGGGGAATGTCACGATACTGAGGGACACTTCGGTTGGCAAAAGACATTAGCCAATCTAATGCGCGCGTATACCTGGCTCGGAATGAAGAATGACTGCATAGAGTATGTCCACAGTTGTAAAGTATGCCAACGTAACAATACTACTACACGCGTACCCCTTGGTCTTCTCAGACCCTTGCGTGTTCCGGATCAGCCGGGAGACTCAGTGTCCATAGATTTCATGGACACCCAAGTCAAGAGCAGACATGGTAAGAGCCAAGTCATGGTCATAGTYGACCGTTTTAGTAAGTATGCAGTTTTTGTTCCTTTGCCTGCAGAGGCACGTACAGATTTAGTAATACAGAGGTTCTTTGACTTTTGGGTTAGTGAGAATGGAATCCCATTGTCAATAGTTCGTGATAGAGATAGTCGTTTCACCAGCCAGAACTGGCAAGAACTCATGAGAGTCTACGACTAAGTTGTTAATGTCGTTCGACCGTCACCCAGAGACTAACGGTCAGACAGAACAGATGAACAAGATCCTAAAACAAGTTCTGCGCATGTATATTAGACCAGATCAGATCAGCTGGGATGAGATTTTGCCCAAGGTCGCTAGTGCATACAACAACAGCGTGCACCTATCCACTTGCCGTACTCCCAATGAACTGCACAAGTCCTTTAGACCTCGTAGACCATTGGACGTTTGAACCGGGACCAGGTCCACAGGCTACCGCCCTGAACCAGGGAGTTTGCTTTGCAGCATGAGAAAGAGTTAGCAACTGTTGTTGAGAACCTTAGGAAGGCCCAGCACAAAATGATAGAACAAGCCAATAAACATTGTCGCCCATCGCAGTTTCACGTCGGCGACTTAGTCTGGGTCAAGGCTAAAGAGTTTGCCCCCGAAGAAAACATATCGCAAAAGTTACTGCCTGCATATAGAGGGCCGTGGCCGGTTCTAGAAGTCAAGGGCGGAGAGGATGGACTGTCCTATAGCATTGAGATTCCAGCACACCTCCACACATACCCTGTGTTYCATGCTTCGAATCTGCTGCCGTGTGTCACAAGTCAACAGTTCCCTTCCCGAAGATCCATGATCCCCCCGGATATGGATGGAAGTTATGACATTGACGGCGTTGTAGATGAGGATGTGTTCAGAACAGGAGGTAGAGGTCCTCCCTAGAAACAGTATAAGGTCCGATTTGCCTATCAGGAACCCGAAGACGACCGCTGGTTCACGAAAACAGAACTTCTAGAAACCGCTCCCGACATAGTCAGAGCCTACGAGCGTGACAAGAAAGGTAAATGTCCCGCCTTGGACTGAGATGTTCTTGGAGGACCTCGAATTTAAGACAGCGGGAGTGAAACGGTTTTCACCTCTTAGCAGTAGCGGATGTAGTACCCAGGGTTTGATCCCTAGACCTCACCCTACCCATGTACAGTATCTGTGTAGACCCCGAGAGTTGAACCTGTGACCTGCGTATTCGTAGACAGTTGGTAGGTCTG